ATATATAAAAATTTAGAACATGCACCACAAACTGCAGGCAACTGGAATGTTCTCTGTTAAAACGTGTTATGTATTAGATATTTTTGTTTATTTTATGTAATGTCCATTTGGAATAATGTTGTATATATAATTTTGTTTGGGAAACAGGTTTGGAAACTCAGATGTCCGAGTTTTCCACGTGTCCTTAAACGCACCGTGCATTCGTGGATTTTTGAGCGTGCGGAAAAACACTCCGAAAAAAAATCCGTGTGTGCACGGAAGGTGATTCGTGTGTTAAGACAATCCACGCATGCGTAGGTAACAATGTGTACGTACTTTCTAAAGAACTGCACGCGAAAAATCGATTTTAAGCATTTGTAAAATGTGTTTTATGTGCAGTTTGTACAGCATGCATTTGTGAACAGCATGACACACACACACACACACACACACACACACACACACACACACACACACAAATGGCTTTATACGTGCAGATTGCGCAGCACGCATTTGTGATCCTCATGACACACACACACACACAAATCGCTTGTTGCAGACAAAACGTTAAACACGCATTTGTAACATTTTTGATCTTATTTTGTCTCCATACTGAAATGACATTATCTGACTGAAAAAGAGCAGTATGTCTATTTAATTTTGCTGCTTTGGGGAGAAATTCATGTTTTCAATATACAGGTATATAGTGGTCATTTCTACACTGCTTTAACAATTTTGTACTAATTGTGGATAATTTTTACTTGGAAGTCATAGTGACATATCTGCATTGTGAGGCCTTTTTAGCTGGTCCGCACAACCTCAGAGGGTTTAAAAGGTTAGACTTAGTTTAAACATTAGGGGGAGTATTAGGTTAGGGTCATGCATTTAGCTGTGATAAACGTTTGAGTCCTCTCCAAGTTCAAGGTGTTTATTTGTCATATGCACAGTTAGGAAACGCGTTTCCCTGTATAATGAAATTCTTACTTTGCCGTCCACATGAATGCCACAAAATACAAATGAAATATAAAGTAGATAAATAAGTAACACAAAATCTAATGCACTTTAAGCAGCAAATGCAGCAATATAATTAAAAAAATATAAGAATATAACAGAGACTGTATGCTGCATGGGAGCAGCATGTGCAGCAGAGTCATTGTGCAACACAAATTTGTGTAACACAAATAAAGTAACACAAAATCTGAGGAATGCCAAATCTAAGAATGCCAATATCCAATACAGCCAAACACACTGTATGTATGACCGTGTACCTGGGACAGGAGTGTTGGGCTGCGTGTCTGCAGGGGTCCCAGTAGAAGGAGTCTTAGGGTCTTCACCAGCAGCCAAAGCAGCAGCCCTTTTGTTCTCCTCCAGCTCTGCCATCCAAGGCATTGACCACTGACCGTTCACATGTTCAAACTCCTGCACCTGTTAATTAATATGTCAACTTATCAGTCAGTTCATCTCTCAATCAGCGATTAAGCATTACATTACCTAAATCAGCTACTAACTCGGTATGACATCATTTGTATTCTTTATTTTCTACCTGTAACAACTTACCTTTTTTCTTATAAGGGACATCACACCAATGCGAGTAAGCACATGTTGCCTTGACAGACCTTCACGTGGGACACCATCTGCGAAGGTCTCAGCTCCATCAGCCCCCGGCTCACAGAGGTGACGCATGAACAGAGACACATAGGCCCTGCACACGTGTGAAGGAGAAGGAGAAGGTGAAGGGACGCCCCCAAAAATACATTTGGAGAATGTCAAAATCTTTGTGAGCCATGCTCATGCTTCACAGAAACACACAAGGAAATAACACAGCAAGTCAAACAAAATTATAAATGACTCCTTTTCTTGACTAAGAGTGCAAGGAGCCTGGCCCAAATAAGTAGATGTAAATAGTCATACTGTAACAACTTAGGGCTTTGGGTGCTGTTTGCAAATTTTCTATTCCAAGTCTATGCAACAACAATACTTATTTCTATACCATACTCATGCAAACGTACAGAGATTTCTACAAAACGTTTATCAATTAAAAAAACTACACCACTGTTATTAAATGCCAGATGTTTAAGCACAAGCAGTTGTACTTTTCCTAAAGAAAACTTGAAACATTTTGATTTTAAATCAGGAACGTGTGTCACAGTTTGAAGAATAGACAAGATTAAGACTAAGACCCAACATTTGATGCTAACTTTTGGTACCAGACAGTTATTGATACTCTGCGCTACAGACACATGGTCAGTCAATACCAAAAAAGTCCAGGCATGCCTATGGTACTGGGACAAGCAGAGAAATTGCATTTGGAGACTCACTTGAATTCTTTCTCAGATTTCCCTCGGAGGTCCCTGACCAGCCACTGATTGGTAAAAGCATCCTGCGGAGGCATCCCATAACGCATCACTGCATTCAGGAAAGCCTTGCGCTGTCGTGCATTGAAGCCCAACACCTGACAGGTAATAAAGAGCTCACAATGTAAGTTAGATGCTTCAAGCGCTGAATAAACAGTATTGAATGCAACCAACAAAGAACTGACAGCATGAGATAGCATGTTAGCATTTTCAAGATTAAAAATAGACAATAATGGTCAATCTTCACAGTTTCTTGGGTTTGGCAGGGGTCTACTTCGGAGAATAACCTTTCACGTTTATGGTCACATCTTATCTGCATGTGAGAGGAATGGGAAGAGTACAGACGACTGCTGCCTAGCAGAAAACTCACCTCAATGTTCCCACCAACCCTGGCCAGCAGCGGAGGCAGAGGTTTGTCCCTGTCATTCCTCAGCCCTTTGCGGTTCGGTCTGCGGGCATTAGCTATGAAGCCATTAAACTGTTAGTCTGAGATTCAGTGCACATTTCATGCAGTAATGTTTCACTGAAAATGAAAGGTTAAAAATCTAACTGCACCATGCTGCTCTTAGTGGGCATTCAGACTGAGTTTCAAAAGGTGTGAAAATACAAAGCCCTCTCCATTCATTTCAATGGAGGATTGCGTTCATCGCAGACGGCACCAGTACTGCCAGGGGCTCCAGCAAAAGGGTGCAACCCCACGAGGGAAAAAGTTGGACCTGGTTCAACCCTTGCTCCACTGGGTGGTGACTCAATTTGTTGGGGTCAATTCTTAAACTCAAATCCATCTTTATAATAAACTTCAAACATCTCAGCTATAACATTTATAGCTTCACAAAGTAACACAGACATTCATAAGCCATTTTACCACTAAAGCGCATACAAACCTTCCCCCTCTTAAACAACAGTGAGCCTTACCTTCACTTCGTTCATCAAAGTCCTCATCGCCCTCCTCTGATGCCACCGAGTAATCAGACTGGTTATCCGACTGATCCTCTTGCCAGTCTAAACGGAGCACAGACAGAAATGTTGAACAGGGACAAAATGAAGAGGACAAACTCGTCACTGCCTGGACTGAAACTAATGGAGATGAGGTGAAGTACTTCCAAACCCCACATGTACATTCAGGGGGTCACTATGTCATATCATGTAATTCACTAACTGCTCACAAATGACCCAAGAGTACCGACATGGAGACTAAGCGTGGTGACTAAGTGGTTGGTTTTGCATACATGCATCTGGTTTGTTTGCCTACGTTAAAGTGTTGCACACAGCTGTATCCGACTATTTCTATGAGATGCCTCTGGGACTGTCGAGGTCCTGAAAGGGACTGGTATTGTAACTGACCATTGTCCAGCAGTAATTGCAAATTGCTTTGTGTCAGTCAGTTTCCTTTCCGCCCATGTCATTTCTTGAAACGGGAAAACTAAGATGCTGCCATGCAACAGCTCTCAAAGTCGACAATGGAGCATGCAGTGTCAGATTCTGCCTTCCATGTAATACCCTGGTAGATACTGTCAGTTCTATGATGGCATAAAGACATTTTTTTTTCTATCATGATATAAAATTATATCTATCATTACATCCCCGGTAATCATTCTTTTTATATTAGTTTTACATATTACACCAATAATCAATTCGTTTTCATCATTAAAACCCAACATGAGTTTATTTACTCTAATGCCATTTTTTCCAGATTTGATTAGTATGCGAGCACCGAAAAAAATGAACCTTGAACTTAGTCTATACACATGTAATAGCACTGGATCTTCTTATGCAATAATAACTAATCTGAACACCTTGTTTAAAGCTACTGTACACTAGTTATAAATGGCATGGCTGGCTGTTTCAACCAAAAGAAAACTGACAGGTTGTATATCAAGTTTGCAGTCAAACTCGCTTCCTTAATACATATTTAAAATAAGTAAAACAACAGGTTTGAGATACAGAGGTGATCTGATGCTGTATTCCTTTCAGTCCAGCAAAGTCTGATACTGCTCTTTGCCGTTCTTGCTGGTAATGGTAACAGTTATACAATCAACATCTGTCTCCTTAGTGTAATTTTCTTGTTTTTAGTTCTTCAGAGTAAAGCCCAGAGCGGCTGTCAGTTTATGCTACAGATCTGAGGGGATTCTGGGTTTTTATTCATTTATCCTGATAATTTTCTAATTCTCATCATATGGTTCAAATACATTTTTTTAAAACATGCCCGGTCTGAGAAACACATACACATTCCAAAATAACTCACAATGACAGAAACACCTTTCTATGCCCAATCTAAAGCCACAAAACAAAACTTCATGCCATGCAATCACTCCGTCTCCCTACACTAACACCAACACCAACAGCACTTCACGGTACTCACGCACACAAGAAGAGGTTGCATTATATATTGTTCTGTACCCTGTCTTATACCTCGGTCCTCCTGGGAGCCGTCATTGTAGTTGACTGGCTTTCGAGTTCTTTTGCCTTTGCCCAGATTGCGGGCGAGATCCTCCTGCTGCTGCTCGTAGTGGTGTCGAAGCAACTTCTCCCAGTAGTCAGGATCGACACTTTCTTCCTGTTTAATCACCTCCCTTTCCACCTCCTCCTCCTCCAAGGACAAGAGTAATTTATATGATTAAGGAATGCACATAAAGCCTGTGGGTTAAACTTTAAGAATAGCACACTTTATACTGCCGTTCAAAATAAACAACATGTCTATGCAACACTGAACAATAATGTTATGTGGGCCTTTTATCCTCTAGGCTTATAACTTCAGGTAATTTTAGGTCTTCTACTGCTACTACAGAACCTGCTGAGTTGTCAAACATCAAGATGAAACAACACAGCTGAGTATATATTCATTTAAACACACACTTTGTAGACCCGGTCGTACCTCGTCATCTTCATCTTTGACTACGTACTGGGCCACTTTAAATGAGCTGAGGTATTCGTTCATATTTTGAAGCTCAGTGTCATCTGTGGCATCCTGGTTCCTGTCTAGCAAGCGTTCAATTGCCTGGTCATCATAGTGGATCACACTGCTGTCGTCCTCCTTGTTGTCCCCTAAAAGCAGGACAAAAAAACAAAACAAACTAGAAGCTGAAACTCAGTGCAATCCTTATAACATTTGTCAGATCGGACAGGTGGAGTGATCTTGCCACAAGAGTCATAGAAGTGAAGTCTCTCCCCATTTTCAGACTCAGTCCATTTACCTAAACCAGGGTTAATTCCCGCTTCAAACAACTGTTGGGTATTTTTAGTCAGATAGATATTGGTCAGATACTTGTTGTATTAGGAATGTTTAGAGTAGACAGGGTGTCTGCCTCATGGCTGTTAAATGCTTAGTCATTCTCATGAGTGCTGCAGAATGCTTATGGTCAAGGATAACTAGATAGAAAGTGATGACTGTCAGCAGACAGGATGTTTAATATTATTATGACGTGTATAACTGTAGCCTTAGCCATAATATGTTCTTATGTTTAATGTCATGACATGTCACTAGAGGTCGTGTTACAGTGTTTTTAGCTACACACCACATAATCAACAGACAATCACACATTGATTTTCTTCATGCTTTGACTACTGCCCTGGCCAGCTGCAAAGCTGGCCCTGGGAGACGTCACGGTTTGGCGTCTCCTGTGTAGAATGGGGTTAGCCCGAAGTGATATAATGTATAGGCCTGTTGTGGTTCGGGGTCTTTCATCTTTCATCTGCCTGCGTGCATGTTGGAGGTGCAAGATACCTGAGCGTGTAATGTTAATTTTTACCTGTGTTCACTGAATAAATCAGCACTGTTTTGTAGTTACTTGGACTGTCTCGTCTCTCAGAGTCAGTATGGTAAAAAGTACCGGAATGCAACACAATGAAGAGCCATCCACTGACAAAAATGTGCATTACAGATTCCCTTCTTTTTTAAGAAACAATAAAAATACTGTTAATTCCTCCCACAAATATGGTAGCTGCCTTTATTTTTTACTTAGTTCCTCACTCCACCTGCTTGTTACCTTATGATGTGCCACACTGCTACATATTATACATAATATAGAACTAGTTATGAATTAAATGAGCAAAAGCTCAAAAATAGTTTGTTTCATATGGCTCATACCAGTCAAAGGTTGGCTTGATCTGATCCAGTAACAATCTCTTGTACAGCAAACACACGAGTTGTAGTTTGTTAAAATGACAAAATCAGTAGAAGGCTCGTCAGTTGTAAATAGTCAGATGCAGACAGCTATAAAATAAAATGACTCACAGAATTCATACTGTCTTAAAAAGAGATGTCCAGTAGTGGGTTAAAATCAACTCACCATCTCCGACTTCATCCTTGAACAACTCTTCAGTTCCAAACTTCAGGATATCATCCAGCTCCTGTTTGGACATGGAGCCCGTCTTGGAGCCAAGGCCTGGTCGCACCACCAGATGAGTGAGCATCATCTTCTTCTTTGCCACCTGGTGGAGGGAATTAGGTGGAAGATGAGCAAGTGGTGGGTAGATGAATACAGAATCCTGACAGAGTTGATTTATCACTTGTGCATAATCTCTTGAAGTGTTAATTTTCACTGACCTGTGTGATCCTCTCCTCCACAGAGGCTTTGGTGACAAAGCGATAGATCATCACCTTCCTGTTCTGCCCAATACGATGAGCTCTGCTAAAAGCCTACAACACACACACACACACACACACACACACACACACACATTTAAAAAAAAAAAAACAGCATAACCACCTATCACCCAAAGAAACAGTCAGTACAGAAGGTATTCAGACCCTTTCAAGTTTTCCATATTTTGTTAGGTTTCAGACTCATATGAAAATGGATTTAATTAAATTTTTTCCTCATCAAGCTACACAAAATATTCCACAATGATAAAGTGAAAACAAATGTTTGGTGTGTTTTGTAAATTTATTAAAAATAAAAGGTGGAACCACCACCAGTCTTCACGGGTTACTCAGCCAAAATGAGTAATCAGGGACAAAGGGCCTTGGTCAGACAGGTAACCAAGAATCCAAAGGTCACTATGAATGAGATCCGGAGTTTTCTGGAAATGGGAGAACTTTACAGAAGGACAACCATCAGCGCAGCACTCTACCAATCAGTCCTCTATGGTACAGTGGCCAGACAGAAGCCATTCCTCATTAAAAGACATAGGACAGCCCACTGGGAGTTTGGCAAAGGGCACCTGAAGGACTCTCAGACCACAAGAAGCAAAATCCTCTGATCTGATGAAACAAAAGCTGAACAATTTGGCCACATTTCACAAAGGCGTGTGTGGAGAAAACCAGGCATGGTGCATCACCTCATTAATACCATTGCTACAGTCAGTGGTGGAAACATCATGCTGTGGGGAAGTTTTTCTGTGTCTGGGACACTAGTCAGGAGAGAGAGAAGGATGGATACTTAAAAATATAGAGCAATTATGAATGAAAACCTTCTCCAGAGTGCTTAGGATCTCAGGCTGGGGCAAAGGTTTACATTTCAACAAGACAATGACCCGAAGCAAATTGCCAAGAAAACACAGGAGTGGCTTCAGGAAAACTCTGTGAAAGTCCTGGAGTGGTCCAACCAGAGTCCAGACCTGAACATCGCTGTGTACCACTGCTCACCATCCAGCCTGGTTTACCTTAGATGATTCTGGAAGGAAATTCCAAAAGAAAGGTGCCAAGCTCGCAGCTTCATTCTCAAGAACACTTGAGACTGTCATTGCTGCCAAAGGTGCCTTAGGGAAGTACTAAGTGAGGGATCCGAATACTTATGTAAATAGGATATTTCAGTCATTTATTTTTAATACATTTTCAAAACACTCAAAAAAACTGTTTTCCCTTTATCACTGTTGAATCTTGTGTGTAGACTGATGAGGGGAAAAAAAAGAACTGAATCCAATTTAAGATGAGTCTAAAACACAACAAAATGTGGGAAACTTGAAAACTTTCTGTACTGATTATACACTGTGACATGTATGTGAGGCTACAGCTGGGCTTCTCATACTTGAATGTCATTGTGGGGGTTCCAGTCAGAGTCATAGATGATGACAGTGTCAGCAGAGGCGAGATTAATACCCAAACCACCAGCTCTAGTGGAGAGAAGGAAAGCAAACTGGGGAGCACCAGGAGCTGGAAAGAAATTCAAATTGAGACACGGATAGGATACCATATCAGTAATCATCAAAAATCTATCATATGTCCTAAAAACAAAATAAGCACACCGATTGTGCCTGCGCATGTCTCACCATTAAAACGGTCAATGGCGTCCTGTCTCAAGTTGCCAGTCACTCCTCCGTCAATTCTTTCATATTTGTATCCCTCATTTTCCAGGAAGTCCTCCAGTAAGTCAAGCATTTTGGTCATCTGAGAGAAGACCAGAACCCTGTGGCCTCCCTCCTTCAGTTTCTTCATCATCTTATGAAGCAGCATCAGTTTTCCTGAAGCCTTGGTCAGAGCAGTGCCTTCATACATCCCATTTGGAAGTTTTGGGGCTTCCTGAAATCAGCAAGAGAAGCCAAATGAACTGAGTGCATTATACATTTCCCAGTGCAAAGACACAATTCATTGCTACAACATGGCATGTGCACCAGAAGAAAACTGTTTTTCATCCCACATAATAGTGTGAAAAAACTGGACCATACTGTAGCAGCTGCAGGAAAGAGGTAGGGGTGATTGCAGCACTTTTTGAGGTCCATCACCACATTGAGGAGAGAGACTTGGTTTCCTCCTCCACGAGTGTTCAGTGCTTCAAAGTTACGTGTTAGAATGAACTTGTAGTACTTCCTGGGTTATGAAAAAGAGATTAAACATACAGTAGGAAAATATGCATGTTTAGAATTCAGACTTAATACACCACATTATGCAAATCTTTAACAAATAAAACAAATATCTAAAACTGTCTTGAGTATGTGTGTTGGTTTAAGTTTGATGCCATATCTATGGACATGTGATTTTAAAGCTATTCCTCAACATCTCATTTTATTACATACTTCTGCATGGGGCTCAGCTCCACCCTAACAATGAGCTCAGTCTTTGAAGGCATGTGTTTGAAAACATCAACCTTCAGCCTCCTGAGCATGTGTGGTCCCAGCATGTCATGGAGCTTCTTGATCTGGTCCTCTTTGGCAATGTCTGCAAACTCCTCCAGAAAGCCTTCCAGGTTGCTGCAGAGACGAAGACAAAAATTAATAAAGAGTGTAACCAGTGTGGGCGTCTACGCTGTATCTGCACTATGGCCACATACTGTAATGCGTTACTGACTTGAATCTCTCTGGGGTCAGGAAGTTCAGCAAATGGAAGAGCTCCTCCAGGTTGTTCTGGAGAGGAGTGCCGGTCAACAGCAGCTTGTGTTGCAAGGGGTAGTTGTTCAAGACTCGGAAGAACTAAAATCAGGCAGTGACAAAAACACCATGAACTTTGAAAACTGACAATAAAAAATTACAATAGTATACATGTATAGTATTTAGCATTATCATGTACAAAACAGCAGGTGTGCAGATGTACAAACAAACTTATTTTTATACTAAAAGTTATGTTTGAAACACCAGAAAATAAACACTTATATAGGGCAGTGTTTGATGGTACCTTGGATTGGTTGTTCTTGAGTCTGTGTGCCTCATCCACAACCAGACAGGCCCATTCAATGGAGCCCAGCACAGCCTGGTCGATGGTAATCAACTCGTAGGATGTCAAGAGAACATGGAACTTGACCGGTGAGTCTTTCTGTAAAGCATAGAGAAGCAGAGACATTAAACTGCCAAACAGGGGGGGAGAAAAAAGCTGAAATACAATTATTCAGACTGCAAGCAATTTTTCCCACTTGTAATGTAGTGCCACAGACTAAACCAGGTGGTTTAACATTTGTATAGTTTGGCAGCATTCATACTGTTTGTGCAAAGTTATAGCAGTTTAACTACAATATCAAACCAGCAAGTGCCAGTACGCAGGGCACCAATACAAGCTGATTATCACCACTATTTCATATCAAAGATCTTAATACATCTTGTTTGGCATCACTCTTGTTCCTCTTCCAGCTCGTTTTCCTACCTTCATCTTGGATGCCTTCTTTCCCCCTCGGATGGCATTGCCCTCAAAGGAGAACTCATTCTCTCTGATGACAGCCCTGCTGTCTTTGTCCCCTACATAGGTCACCACATACATGTCAGGGGCCCACATCTCAAACTCTCTCTCCCAGTTAATGATGGTGGACAGGGGGGCACTGACCAGGAAGGGACCTTTGGAGTGACCCTGTAGTGGTGGAAGACAAAGGTGGACTCTACATTAACATGTAAAGATGTTGGTTTATTTTTTAGAAAAAGCATAATATATGCAAATAAACTACTGCATTTGTCATGTCCTGCCTTTAGGATGGAGTTTCCTACTTTGAACTCATCCCCTTTAATGGACAAAGTTACTGTGTGTCACATGTCTGATACCCCACCAACTAACAATGATTGACAGAGGAGGGCAGACTGGACAAGACAAGAAAATATATTTTATTTTGGTAGCATGTAGAATTCTTATAACAAATAAAAACAAAATGTAGCTTTAGGCTCACATCTTCATCATGAAGGAAATGCTTAAAATCCTTCTAAGATATTCATAAATACAGTTGCGTACCTCCTTGTACAACGAGTAGAGGAAGACGGCCGTTTGTACAGTTTTGCCTAAGCCCATCTCATCAGCCAGGATCGTGTCTGTGGCCTGAGCCCAAGAAAACCTTAGCCAGTTCAACCCCTCCAGCTGGTAAGGATGCAGAGTGCCCCCTGTGCTGTCCAGGTAGTCAGGCTGCCGATCAAACTTGATGGTGGGCTGGAAGAAAGAAACCAAGGAGAATATCAAGTTCACATCTACATCTACATCTACTTTTTATTCTTCCAGGGGAAATAAACTTGATAGTGAGCCTTCCTTCATTTATCACCATTAGCCTATTGCAAAAATGGTTTATAGTAAGATCAGTTTCACAGTAACCAAGGCTGTGTTTGGACATAAGAAATACATGTTTGGTTAAAGTTTTAAAATACTTACATCAACAACTGGATTAGCAGGAGGCCGCTCAGCCTTCCTGACTTTAACTGGCTTCTTCAGCTTCTTTCCAGGTCTGCCCTCCTCACCCATCATCAGCTCTCTGACAGCGTGTGGGGAAAAGTCATACTTTCAACTGAGACAAGTAACAAATTAAAGACCAATGTCCATAAGACACAGGGGTCATTGCATGGTTTGAGGAGTAAGAAAATAACAGGAATCATATTCTATGGCATATACATTTTTTAAGCCTAAAAAGGCCACTTGACTGTACTAAAGCAATAGATAAATGGACATGTTGTATGTATTGTATATGGGGAACGATTATCCTTAAAACAGGCAGTAAACCTTCACTCATTCTCACTGTATTATTAATGAGTTTGTTGATAAAGATATCTGAAATATAAAATGTCTTCTTTGAACAAAGGCAATAACGTCTGTACATTTTGGAAGATATGAAGTACTTGACTTGTCAGAAAATAAATGCACCTCTGCAAAACTCTTATTTTCCACTGAAACTAAGACTGTCATTCCTCTGTCTTATTGAAACTTGATAGCAAGCCACGAGAGCTGAAATAAACTGGGTTCTGGATTGGTGTGAATTCAAATGGATCGAGCCTAAATGTTTTGTGAATAACTGATAAAATATGCTGCGACTGTAACTCTACAGAAATGACTGTGCTCACACTGGCGAGAGTTGGGAGCTCAGTCCAATATAATGAGGGCACACCAGCCGCCATGTTTGTACAAGTCCTACAAATGTAGAAGGCCTCATAGCTAAGTGAAAAGGCAACACCGGCCATGGTCGAATGGGCTTTGAAATTTTTAAACCCTAGCCTCTACATACCTATGATTCCAGTATGTCTGTTTGTAGGTGTCATACTCGGGGATGTCCATGTCTTCACTCTCCCAGGTTGACTGGTCATAGGGTAGATCTCTCCATTTGATCAAGTAATGTACGTTGTTCTTCTTATCAACACTGAAAAAACAGGAAAAACTGAGTTGTGGTAAAACGGCATTACCGTTTGTAACACAGCTTTCTCTTTAAACAATCAACTCTTAACTACAGCAGTGTACATCAAAACCACATCAAATAATTACCAGTTAAAACAGCAATTTTAAGACTAAAATATAATTCAGTCTGCTGGTTCCAAAGCTTGAGAGCAAAAGAAATGTACTGTATGCTTGTTTTTATAACTGTGTAAATCATGAGATTATACATGTCCCACCTGTGGTTGAGGATTCGGTGGATCATCAGCCACTCCATCTTAACTCCAAAGCGATAAAAGTCCTCCTCCATGCGGACAAAGAGAGGATCTTTGTTCTTCCTCTTAGTGCTCTTGTCATCATCACCCTCGCCTCCAAAGTCTACAGGCGGAGGTTCATCCATATCAGTCTTCCTCTGGTAGTTACGGAACATCACCTGGCAGTTCAGTTCCAACTGAGAAATAATGAGAGAGGTAAATAAAAGGCCATCTGGGACAATTCTGCATTTGTGTGTTACAAATGTGAGGAGAGGGAATTGAAAAATGCTCCCTACTTCCAGAAAAACAGCCAAAGTACATTCTCAATTACGGATGGATATTGTTTCAGTGACAGTGTTGTACCTGTAGCTCCTGCACCCAGGAGCAGTGCCAGTAAGACATGTTGCACCATTTGACAAAGAACTCCCTCTCCCTGCGGCCCACCAGAGGTGGGGGATCAGGAGCATTAGCAGGCAGGTCAGCAGGGCGGGGGACAGGCATGGGGGCTGGTGGGTCCCCCCAGCGCCATGTCAAAACCTTCTGGACTTTACCCTTCATTGGTGGACACTGTTAGGAAGTGGGAGAGGACAGAAAATTATTTAGGCTAAGATGTCTCTCAATGAATAGAAGCAAAGTACCAGTGATAAGAAATTCTGTTTGTAAAAATAATATGAATGATGAATGTTTAGGACATAAGAAATCATTTAAAAACACTGACTTCAATGACTGATCTAAAATACTACAGGGAAACTTCTCCACAGCAAGAAAAAAAGCTCTTCATCTTCAGGACGAATGTGCACAAGATGTAATGTGCAATCTGAGAGCACACCCACATGCGCACACAAACTCATATGCACCAGTGCACTGCACTCACCTTGCAGCGGGGGCAGATCCATTCTCCATTAGGGATTTCAGGGAGAGGAGGGTTGAGGCAGTGGATGTGGTAGGAGGAGGGGCAGGTGTCACAGCAAAGCAGCTCCCCTCCATCCTTGCACACCCGACAGTACTCAATGTGGTGGTCGTCTTCCTCTTCCAGCCCTTCATCCCTCCTGTCATCCTCATCCTCTCCTTCAGCGTCAGAGAGATCATCCCTGGCCTCCCATTGGATCCCCTCCTTCTCCTGGTTGAAGAATTACAGACAGAGTGAGGTGGTGAATGTGTGTGTGGGGAGGGTGTGGTAGGGGAGGAACAAGAAGAGGAAATGGAGGATTGCATGGGAGGCACATGGTGGGGAACAGGAAAGGTTAGATGCATACATGAGCAAAATGATTTTGGGGGGACAGCAGAGGACCAACAGGAGTGGAGAGCATAAAAACTGGTTAAAAATCACAGCTAGCAGAATCCATTTATCAGCAACAAAGTCTCATGTCAGTATAACTTTCCAAAAATAGAAAATGTTTTAGAGACTGATAATTTATGTCCTGCTGTTTCCCATTCTGGATTTAGAGCCAGTTTTCTCAAACATACATCCTCATAGCCTTCTATGTGCAGTACAGAGCTTACGGTACTCACACAGTGTGGGCAGCTCCACTTGCCCTCAGGTGCTTTCTCCATGTCAGGGTCCAGACAGACCATGTGATAAGCTCTCGGGCAGGTGTCACACAAAATAATTTCTCCTCCTTGCTGGCACACTTCACAGTAGTCCTGATGGTCTGTCTCATAGCCATCACCATCCTCTGTCTCCACTGAGAAAAGAAAATTAGCAAAAAAAATGAGGTGCATGGAACTAGACACAAAAAAGAATAATAAGCTTTTGGCCTTGAAAACTCCAGAGCAGATGTATTATTTTGGTAACATTTCCATGACAACCTTTTTTCTTTTTCTTTGAGCTCTTGGGCTTCTTCTTACGGCTGCTGCGATTGGAGCCATCTGACACATTGTAACTCCCATCATCAAAGTCACTATCAACATCTGGTTCGTCTTCATCACTCTGACAGAGATACAGAGGGAGAACACTGAGGATGAAATAGCTGCTTACATTATAGTAAGTTATCACTATTCTGATTCTGACCTTAAATAAGTAAACAACCAGAACCATAAGAATTCAGTGACAGAAACAGGATCTTACAGAGGAGCGTTTCCTCTTGCTGTTGAGGCCCCCTAGTTTGATCTTGAGAGGAGCCACCTTCTTGGGTTTGGGCTTCGGTTGCGGCTTGGGAACAGGCTTCGACTTCTTGCGAGCATTGGGACCTGACAAAGCAAAAAATAAAAAAAAGGTAATCAAGAAACAATGTAAAGCTTATTTCTAGATTAACACTGAAAAAATGGATTTACATATAATCAAGGGAAAGATGAAATAAGGGATCACATTCATTCTTACAAAACCACCTTTTAATTTTTGCATAATTATCATGTTAAGACAAATACATTATCCATATTTATCTCACGTTACCTTTGCCCTCTTTGGTCTTGGCCTTGCGGAGTGGAGGTGCAGGAGGTGCTGGAGGTGCAGCAGGCATCTGAGCAGCGACAGGAGTAGAAGCAGGTGTGAGCGAAGTGGCAGTGCCAGTCTCTGTCCCTCCGTCTGCCCCCACCACCACCATATTCTCCACAGCTGCAGCCACGTTGGCAGCTGCCATAGCTGCGTTGGCAGAGGCACAACCCTACAAGGAGACACAGCACAGACTCAGAAACTCTTCTCTCTACTGTCAAACATGCAAGGGGACGAGCAGTACAGGAAGGACCATTTTCATTACAAGACAGATTTGCAACATTGTTCACAAATGTGATACCTTCAGAGGGTTGTTTGTGCTGAATTCTCTCCACTTAGCCATCATCAAAGTCATCATCTTGGACACAGCAATTTTAGGGTTCTTAGCTGCAATTAAAGGCCTAAGGATATAAAATTGAAAAGAATTATAGTGATTATTTATATGTTGATATAAACATAGCTCCTTAATAACAAGGACGTATACAGTAATATTAGTGTAAAACAAAAAATGGGTTTTCTCACCTGACAAACTGGCTGAAGGCTTTGTAGTTGGTGAGAGAGCTGTAATCTTCCTGAGTAAAAACGTGGTCAATGTCTTTCATGCCCCAGGCCTCCAGCAGCTGGGAAGAGCTTTTAGGCTGAAGTGAGGGGACAGGGGTTGAAGAAAAAAAGAAACTAACAGAGTAAATCAAATATTGCAGTGTGTCTGAATTAATCTTTACCTGGCAATCATCGTCATCATCCTCATCATCCTCTGGTTCTGGATCTTTGCGTTTGCTCTTTGAGCTGGATGAGCCTCCTTTCTCTGCTGACGCACCTCCTTTCTTCTTGTCTTTGGCAGAGCTGGAGCGTTTTTTCTTTTTCCTCCCAGGGGCATAATCACTTCCTTCACTCTCTGACCGCACACCTCCCTCATCTACATCCCTCTCTGCTGTTTCTAAACCAATCAGGTGCTCTGGGGAGCTGACTGGGAGCTCCTGTAAGACAGACAA